AAATTACAAATCCTAACTTCAAATTGTAGTATCACTCACAGCAGATCTCGCCAATATGTGGCAAGCAAGAAAACAGACATGGATATCACTTACATACATCGGCTTCATGCTTATCCAGGTACATTAAAGGCCTTACACACTCACACAGCTGTTTTAATTTTGCAAAGCTACTTAGCTCTCTGCTCAAAGCACACGTGTTTTGAGTTTTTATAATTCCGCTCAACCGGATAGAGCAATTTGTTTTATTTTGACGCTATCAAACTCCCATTGAACCTTCCTTTTTAATGGCATGTCATTTAAACAAACAAACAAGACAACCACAATGTCAAAAACAGTTGACACTAATAACATGAGTGATTCATTGATCATTTAATTTAAATATTGCCTATCTAGTTATTACAGTAGGCCACATTCCTGAGCCAGTGCTACACTAGGATGCCCTCTCGGAAAGATTCAAGATTCAAGGCTTTTATTGTCATGTGTAATGCAACCTTTATTGAAGGAACAGTTCAACCAACATCCAAAATACATATCCTGCACCAACCTCCTCTTATGTTTTATTAGCATATGTTGTTTATTTCGATGTCACAGCTATTACAAATCAAAAGTGACAGATCCTCAATGGAAGGCTACAGTAATGACACTCTGGAGCAGAAGCTACACATAACTCATTACTGCACAGTGTAGTCAAACTGAAAGCATATGGTGACACATGGGAGAATACCATGGGATAATGGGCACCACATGTTCTTTGTTTATTGATATGCAAATCACATAGTTATGCGGGATCCTACAATTTTCACAAATGTACCTACATGTCATTCAGATGTGGTGGAAAAAGCCAAGGTGAGGTGGGATGGGCTTTTTGGTATTTGGATGAAAAGCAGTATTCATAGTCTGTATTTGTTATATGTTATATTTCTGGTTTTCCAAGTATCGATATAGATATCTTTATAAAGAATAAATCTATGATAATGCAATTCATGTAAAATACTAAGTTACTGTGCTGTGACCTGGGCCAAAGCTAACTGGGATTTTATCAATAATGTAATTTAAGTTACTGAAACAAATATTTTGACTAAAACAAATACTAAGAAATAAGATAAAAACAGAGTTTGGCTGCATAATTAATGTATTTATTACCCCAAACTTATTTTAATGTTCAGTATCCTGGGCCAAAGTAACTAAAAAAGTAACCCAAATAAAATTAGTCTAGAACCGCCACTGCTTTATACAGATTTTAGACAAGAACAGAGACTTTCAGAGATTTGCAGTGAACATCTTTTAACATTTCCTGAACCCAGTTGAAAGTGTTTTGTAGATAAAAACCACAAACATTCCTGTGTTGTTCAAATCGAGGTGTCCACTTTTCACTCTGAGTTCTGCTTTATTTCTCACTCGGATGGGGGGGGGGGGGGGGGGGGGGGGGGGGGGGGGCGGCAGTGAGCTGACTGAGTGGGTTGATGCCGATGATCAAGTCGTGTTTTACGGTCAGCGCCACCCACCAGAAGATAATCACTGGATCCTGAGGTGTGAATCAGTGTTCAGAATCACAGACGAGGCTATCTCTGCCTGCCGCTGATGTTGTTTCATTACCACTCGCGCTCTGGTGTGAACAGAAAACTCGCTTCCCTCTGGCTCAGACTGATTGCAGGTGGAAACAGTCTGAATGGCTGCAGATACAAAAGGTCAAAATCACGTCATGTCAAACCCTCCTGTTGTGTCTCAAAGACGTGATTGTGGCACTGATCTATCCCTGGGTCATTTTTGTGATGTGGGCAAAACTTTTTCTCTTAACACCAAATATCAAGTGTTGTGTGTGTGAAGCCACAGCTTGATAAAGGTTCTACTTTAAAAAGCCACACTGTTGTATTTTGGTGACATATTATTTCATTACAGCAAATATAACCAGTTATTTTTCTTTTTGAAAAACACTGGTTTGTTTGAGGAAAGGAATAAAGGCAAATTGTTAAATAAGTGAAACCATCATTATATTTCCAATGCTTTTAAGCCAATGGCACATTTAGAGACTCATCAGGCTTAGTTATAAGTCTATATTATGTCATCTAAATCTTAAAATTGTGCATCCCGAAAACAGAAAAATATTGCCACAAGTTTCAGGTTTTGTTCAAATATGCCGGTGAAGAAAAAGGATAATAGATGAAAGGTTGGAGCAGTGGTTCTGTGTGTCCTATTTGTATACAAAAGAACAGCTTTCAATAGAATAGAGTATATAGAGAAATAGAGAAGTTGCACAACAGCACAAAACCACTTTGGTAGAGTTCACTTTAATAATCATGGTCAACATCTGAAACAGTCATCCTCCTCATGTTAGCCAAAATTACAATTACAATCTCCATCAAAAACCAAATATCTTCATCCTATCAGTAAAACATCATCATCAACAGTTGTTCTAGCCATCTGCAGCAGCATCGTGCCAGTGGTTTAATAAATTAGTAAGTAAATAACAAAACACTTGAGGCCACCCTAACAAAATGAGGTATATTACAGTCAATGCATTGTCACCTATCAATAACGGTTTTAACTTAATTTGCAGGTGAAGCAGCACATTCTTAAACACTCAACAAATAGAGTGTTGTCATAAATTACATGTACGTATATCAAAAAGACACAAAAATACTCTTCAAGTTGTCATTTATCTAAATCTATCAACATATATAATACCTTGATTTTTCACCAATAACCATCATGTATGAGGAAAATAACTACTCTACATCAGTGCAAAACATTATCAGAAACCATGGAAAGCAGAGGGTAAAGAAATACAGATTTTTCATGAGCTGAAGTGAATAAGGCAATGATTTACTCTATCCATATTGTTCAAAATACCCATATGCCGTTGTGAATGGAAAGAACATATCATATATAACAGAGATTAAGGCATTGATTGTCTTGGAGTGTCAAACATAACTTTGCAATGCATCATATATCCAAGACAACTATTTCTCCTCTGTATTATCAAAAGTTTACGGAAGCCCTTAGAACCAAGTCCAAAAATAACTTTTAATGCGTTTTAGTCCGATCCTAATAGTTTTGTCTCCATATATATATCTCTACAGTATATTAGTTCCTTCATTTTTCTACTCTTGTGCTGAAGTCATAAACACAGGAGGATATTTAGATCTGCCTTCTTTTTCCTCACTTACCTTTTAGGGCTTCCGTAACAACCATGAACACAAAATAAAAGCAAACATGTATCAATAAGTAATTTCATAAATATATTTTTGTAATCTATCTTCTTTTATGTTTTCATAAAAATGTACTGCAGCTACTTATATTTGGCTCACTGGGCGTCATTGATCGTTTTGGCACTGTACTTACATACAGTAACTTACTGTTGTACCGACTGAACACCAAATCCATCAAAAACGTCTTCTTTATCCCTTTTTTTTATTAAACTAAGGCGTCGAGGACTTCCATCTACAGATGTCTACTCTACAAAAAGTTAAGCCCAGGGAAAAGCCCTCTGATACAGAGCTGCCTTTCTTCTGTTACAGAACAAAAATATAATAGGTACAACATTTATTGAGTCAGATAACACTTTGTCAGTCAAGAAGGCTCTTGGACTTAGGTCTTCAAGAAAGACCTGAAACTACAATACTTCACAAGCAATGGGACTAAATAAATAAACATCTTATGCGCCCAATTAATGTGAGAGTAAAAAGAGGGACACTGCAATCCTTAAAGTTGTTCCATCTCAATAAATAACATACATGTTGACTGCCAAGCAGAAAACAGATACTATTTTTTGCTTTTCATGAAAGACTGTCATTGTTATTAAACATCATGTTGTCATTAGTTATAGTCACTCTCCCAAGTGATGAAAATAAGGACATCAGATGCATTTCTCCTTCCTTTCAATCCAGCCCAAATGTGTGAGAAATCAAAAAGCATGTCGCACCCGGTCACTCTTTTCTGTGAGTACAAATCCGCCCGAGTACTGTCAATCACGCTTGGCTAAGTTCATCAACCTGAGGGACATGTCAGTCATGACAGCAAAGGCAGCCGGTTTGAAGGCTTATCTTTAAAACTCTGCTTAGCTGGGTCAATAAGTCTTTCTTAATGGTGCGCAAATACCACACATGAAACACAGACAAACACAAAGTCTCACATACAGTAGTCACATAGCTTTATCTTTCATTGGCCATTATGCTTCAAGGCAATGTAAACCTGAGCCGAGCTGTGCAGTCTGCTGTACCTTTTCATCTGTAATACAATTTGGGGACTGTTAGTTTTGGTTAGGCTAGTTTATAGTGCTACATACAGTGTGAACGCATCAACCTGTCACTCACTTGCAAACACTTTGCACATGACAAAATCGGCAAACAGCCATTTTCTATTCTTTCTTTTTTTTCATTTAAAAAATATAATGTAAACATTACCGAAGCCTTGACTGGCAAGCGAGAAAGAAAAAGATTCTGCTCCAGGAAAGTCTTTCTAGGGTTTTCTTTTCATCCGTGAAACAGGTGGGAAAAGGTGTCATTTTTTACATATGATGAAAAATGATCTAGGCGAGAACAAAAAATCACCTCTTCTTAAGACATAAACACAGGAGAGAAAACCCTTTAGATATAGACATTAGAAAATGGATCATTAGTATTTTTTCTCACTTGCCTCTCAGGGCTTCCGTAGAATGTATGTTAGACGACAATGTAAAACTAAATCCTTATGTCTTATATCAGACAAAGCTACCGTGTCAGAATAGGCTGAGGCTATGAACTGGCTGTTCATCTTGGGTGGATGTGAAATCTCCCGTTTCTCATTGTCCTCACAAGTTCACTGCACTGATCTGCTGTTCTGGAGTTTCAGTATGCAAGCACAGTGGTATTCCAGGGTGCCGGGGATTTGCCCTCGGTCTGTAGTCGCTTTCTTTTGGCTTGTCAGACCAAATTCAAGCAGACATGGACAGGGACAAGCACTATTTCTTCTGTTCTTAATCGGCGATAAATCAGCCTCATATTTCCCTGACAGTTGCCGGGTCACTCTGCAGTTGCTATGCTGTTGACTTGGTTCTCGTGTCCGCGCCCCGATGCGTTCAAAGAGCTCCGCTTCAGCAGCCTGTTGATGATGTCAGTGCACGTCTTCCTGTATTGGTGTCGGAGCAGTGAGTACACAAAGGGGTCGCAGGCTGCCTTGCTGTAAGCTAAGCACTTGGAGACAATTCCCCAGTGAGGGTTGATAGGCACCGCTGGAAATAACTCCACGATCCTGCAGGCAAGCACAAAGAGAGGGTGGTGAGAGAAGGGGAGCAAAGGTTGAAAATGCATGCATGCCCTGAGCTCATCATGAAGACATAGAAATACATTGTTGCACATAAGCAGGGTGTTTCTACTTGGCTCATGCGTTTGGATTTACAGCGTGAAGCTTATCATCTCACCACTCACATGCAGCCAGCAGCATATCTGTCAGGGCCACCGGAAGAATAAAACAGACCTGTCTAAGCAGTAATGAGTGTCTGGAAACAAGCCAATTAACTCTGATTGTTATTTAATACACTTTCAGACTGAGGGCTAAGCAGAAAACCATAAAGGACAGAGGACAGTGAGTTCTTTCAGCAGGGGTAAAAAAATACTATATTAAAATACCGTATATTAGATTTGAAGTGGCACATAATGACGTTTTCTGAAGTCTGCATCCTAACGTGATCTCAGTCATACCCATAAAGACAGAAAATTGGTGCTTTCACACTCATTTTTGTCAAGTATTAATACACCTTCCTGTACATGGTGTCATAAAAGGTGGTTAAAATATCACTGATCCTTTTCCGCTTACACTCTGTATGATTACTATACAATCAAGCTCTGTCAGCAGTGTAACACTGGCCTAGCATGGGCCAGTAGCCATCACTGGCATTTGCCCACACACTCCGCAGCAGCAGAGCGAACAGCAGGTTACAGTAAGTCAGCTGTGACGGCGCACAGCGGTGATTTTACTATACACATAATGACCCAGACAACAAATGAGTATGCAGTGGAGGGGCTTTTAGCATAATATGTTCAGATAGTAATTAGTAAACTGTCATATGCAGAATGAAAGTAGCACAGTGCTGCTATGGTCGTTCATTACTGACAGCCTACTGATACCAAAACCATGTGTCTGAGTAGAAGAACAACTTGCAAACACTTGCAACGGACCAATTTAAAAATGTATTTAAGACGTTAATGGGCTATAGAGAGGATATAGAGAGTAATATATATTCTGGATCATTTCATATCCAACCAGACATCATCTCTAGCTCCATCACCCCAATGCCCTATGAGTGAATTAAATAAATAAGATATAGTAGTACTAACTAATGGAATATTTTCTCTTTGTTTAAGTTAGTCCATCTAAATAAAAAAACTAATAATCCATATGATATACTCCACGCTACTCTACTCAGCTCTAAATAGTGTTTTAGTATCATAAAGTGAGTAGATAAACTATACTAAAACCAGACAGTATGAGGATGAATGATACAGTCTATTTTGAGCGCTGTACTCTCAGAAATGCTATTCCCAACAGAAATGGATGAGCTTCTCACAGCTGTGAAATAATTCATCTGCATGTTGGATCTTCAACTTGCATTTTACTTCAGAAGTTGTCATTTTTTGGATGTCTGAAGCTTCATGTATTGGGTCCGTATTGGTTACCTGTTTGTACAAAGTTAAGTTTTCTGCTAAAATGATATGCTATAATGATGAGTATTAGGTGAAAACTGAATAAAAATGAATTTGCATCTCCCCTTGCAAATTGTCAACTTATTGGCATTATAGTTACAGGAAATGAAACAATGCTTGTGACATAAGCTGTTAATCAATGTGTGACTTCAGAAGGCCACTGCCAATGAAACACAAAAAGTAGCCAGGACTTAAAAATACTTAAAGTGGACCTATCATGCTATATTTGAATAATATAGTACAGGACCATACCTATATAAGGCATATTTATACTTTTTTTTTTTCAAAATACCAAACAGATCATGCATTTTAGCCATGCCTCATTTTGCTCAATTTGACATTTTTTAGCTCTGTTTTTGCAAGGGCTGATTCAGTGAGAACAGCACCATCTACTGGCCTGGCATATGTACTACAGCGTCTCCAGCGCTTTCGAACGGCAATGGCCGTTGCTGTCTCCTCCTGATTGGTGGAGTTGGCCAGGGGCGGACTGGGACTACAAATCAGCCCGGGACTCTCGACCGGCCCACTTCGGTGCTAGTGCATTATCCGAGCGGCCAACTTCAGTACCGGCCCATCGGTCCCGATGGTCCTGACGTCAGGACAGTGTTCAAATCTGGATCAGTTTTTATCAGATCCGTTGCAGCCCCTTTTTTAGAGATTTGGGTATGGAGGAAAATAGAGAGGGTTGTGTTTTCTGACACTTGGTGAGTTCCCTGGAACACCGGGGACACATATTCATGTATAAAAGACGTACACAAGTGCATTTTGCATGATAGGTCCCCTTTAACTTTACCCTGATATTTTAAAGAAAGTAGTTTGTGTGTCTGTTAACTCAGGAGAACTGACACTTGAGAGTAACCAGAACATGTAAACTCCGGATTTTGTATAAATCCAAGTTATATTATATATATATATTTTACTGTATATGAAGCTTCACACTGAAGCTTCATGTGACAGCCTCTCTTTGTCGAGTGATTGATGGAAGTGGATTACTCCTAACTAAGTGATGCACCCGAGCAACTTGAGGAGAAAAGTGCTAATGCAGCAGCAACAGCAGAGCAGAGGCATATTACTTATCACAAGGTCAGCCAATCTCATCTTCCAACTCTGGCCGTTGTGGAGAGTAAGCAGAGAGGAGGTAGTGAGGAGGAGGAGGAGGGGGGGGGAGGATTTGACAGCAGAGGAGGGAGGTTTGGGGGATATACCAGCAGAACAAAAGAGGCTGCGTACGCCGCAGTGTGCCGGCATGGTTTCCCTCTCCCGCCTACACAGTTTCTTTCTCACCTTGTGATCACATAGGGAGCGAAGCAGATCATGAAGGTGCCGATGAAGGTGCTGATCTTCTTTGTTGCTCTCTGTCGTCTTCTCTTCTGCTCCTCCAGGCAACGCTGGCGAACACTATAAACACACAGAGAGTTCAGTGGATTAATGTCAGGTAGACACAGTGAGGGAAGACCACATACTTTCTCCAGAGATGCCATAAAAGACAGCTAGGAGTTTGTGCGCTTGTGTTTTATTTCTGTTGGGCAGGGGTTAAATATATAGGAGGCTGAGCTGTCTGTTGGACAGTATATAACCAAACACACACACACACACACACACACACACACACACACACACACACACTATATGTACACGTTATTTTATAGAGGCAGAGTAAAGCAATCACCCTGGATTGCCTTTAAGTGGATACAGATGTTGCATTGCCTCTGAATACTGAGGACACACTTCAGTGCAAGGATGGTAGTATTACCTAAACATTTAGGCTTTTAAATTAATTAAAGAAATAAGCATGTATCTTAATACACTCACTAATCCCAGGGACATCAGCCCACCTCCCCCCTTTTGATCAGATGGTTGATTTGCTTTTTTCTTTCTTTACTAAGCTCTCTTCTAACTGAATCAATAAAAGACAGATCTGTGTAAGGTGCATGTACAGGAACAACACAAACAGGAATAATACGTTAAAGGAGCTCACCTGGGGTGTATATCCACCAGCAGCACTAAAGTTTGCATTGTAATAACGTCGATCCTCTTACAGTGAAACCTTGCCACTTTGAGCACTTTGAGGTAAGTGACACACAGCACTATAAAAGACAGGAGGAAGGAAAAGGAGTGGAAAAAGACGGTGAAGATAACAAACGGTGTCCGGCTGCTCGCCCTCGGGTTGGACAACGTGCAGGACGCGTAAAGCCGGTGGTATCCCACCCAGGAGAGGCAGGTGGCCACCGTGGAGAAGGACATGGAGTGCACCCACGTGTACCCGAGGACCAAAGCTGCGTCTTTGTGGCGCATTTTGGAGTGGTACCTCAGGGGGAACACCACCGCGATCCACCTGTCGATGCTCAGAGCTGCCATGCTCAGCATCGAGTTGGTGGACAGGAATGTCTCCAGGAAGCCCACGATCTGGCAGAAGCCGTCCCCTCCCGGCTGAGTCTTACTGACGAGTCCCACCAAAGTGAGCGGCATGTTGGACACGGTCAGCAACAAGTTGCAGAAGGTGAGATTGAGGTTGAACAGACCGGGGACCTGCTTACGGATCTCCGGGTTGTACAGAAAGCAGACCAGCACCAGGACGTTGGACAGCAACGACACTATGATAATCACAACCACCAACACAGACAGAATCACCTCCGCAGTGTCCATCCTGTGGGCCCCGAAACTCACTTATCCTCACTTTTTCTGCGCATATCCAGTGTTGTTCTCCAGCTGAAAATGCAATTAATCACCCATAACCATGTCCATGCATCCCCAGATCTATCCACCGGTGCAGTTCCCCTTTCTCTCTCAACTACATTGTCTCTGTACACTGGCCATCAAAGACGACCAGGAGGATTCCGGCATCATAAGAAGTATGTTAGGGGAAACGAAGACGATATCTAATCTTTTTGTTCCCCTCTATAACCTACAGGAAAATAGCTCTCGTGCCAAAGCTGCTCTATTCTGGCTCTGCGTCTTGCAGTGGGGTTTTGTCGTCCTGTGATGCGCTCTCGAGGCATCACCCCTCCGCACACACTGCACAGTGTGTGGGCTACTTGATCTCTCCCGTCTCCTGTGAGGAACAGTAACATTAACAAGAGTGAAGTGGGGATATTTTCTGGGAAAATGGAAATTGCAGCGAGAGAGTTGACCTTATCCAAACTGAAAATAGTGATAACATAGTAAAACACAGACCTGATGTGTTTTGTCCCCATTATATATTTTTTAATGGGGACACTATTTTATTTTTAAAATAATTGATCATGACATTGACATTAAATTATGCGTCCATTGTCTGTCATTTGCATATCCAGGTAAAGAAAACTGTCTCACAGCATCCTAGAAGCTCATTTAAATATTGAAATCATCCCCCCCCCAAAAACAGGTTGAGGCAAAACAAATTGTCAAGAGATTATTTTTTCCACTCCTGCTCATTAATTCAAACCCTCATTTGAAATCAAATTGGTTTTATATAGACATATCTGTTCATGTTAAGGTGGTTTCACTGATTTAAACCATCATTGCATTCCAGCAGCATCTCTTCATTACATTACATTACATTGCATTTAGCTGACGCTTTTATCCAAAGCAACTTACAATAAGTGCATTCGACCAAGAAGATACAAACTTGAAGAAAACAGAATCATATAAGTAGCCTCCATCAGGTTTCATAGAGCCAAAACATTTCAAGTGCTACTCAGCTTTAGATAAGCCAGTCCTTTATTGGTATATAAGTGCTTTGTTAGTAATTGTGTATATGTGTAAGCTTTCTGCTGTCCTGATGTCAAGGGGGAGCTCATTCCACCATTTTGGAGCCAGGATAGCAAACCGACGTGTTTTTGCTGATGGGAACTTGGGTCCCCCTCGCAGTGCTGGTGCAGCGAGCCGTTTGGCCGATGCAGAGCGGAGTGCAAGTGCTGGTGTGTATGGTTTAACCATGTCCTGGATGTAGGAAGGGCCAGATCCATTCACAGCATGGTACGCTAGTACCAGTGTCTTGAAGTGGATTCTAGCAGTTGGAAGCCAGTGAAGGGAGCGGAGGAGCGGTGTGGTGTGGGAAAATTATTCACCTCATGCTTTACTCAAATATGTGTTCTAATTACATCTGCTTCATCATATTGATGAGGAGCACCATCTTCGTTGAGGCTGGATGACGCCCCCGCACTCTGCTGCCCCTCTGGACTTGAGCATGGAGAATCTTTCCTCTGAAGCGTGGGACTAAGTGTGCAGCAGCACGTGAGCAAGGCGCTGGAGCAGGGTGAGGTGGTGGTTGGGGCTACAATAAGGGGAGGGGAGGTGTCAGAGTGAGAGAGTGTGGGCGGAAAGAGTTTCTGTTACTGCAACACACATGCACACAGTATTTGACTGTGGGGATGTCATACTATGCAGGCAGCCGTGTGCGCTCCTTTTACTCCATGGTGGCAAAAGGTGAACTGATAGGAGAGAAAAAAGTGGGGGAAATTCTTCAGAAGGGAGGCTCATTAAAATGGCATCCAGTAATGGTGTCTGTGGGGGGCTGATGGTTGCTCCTGATGCAAAGAGAAGACACCTGGAGGAGAAGGACAAACAGCAAGCGTTATTAAACCAAAATGAAGCTCCATCATGTCCCAGAGTAAGGCTTTGGCTGTGATGGATGCATTTCCATTATTATACCTTCACATGTGAGGGGGGCACCCTTTGAGCGCTGTCATGCAACTGCTTGTGCAGCTCTCTCCTGTCAGTGGAGAGGCCTTATCAGCACAGAGACACCAGTTGATCTCAGGCACAAGAGCAGCTTTTCGTACTCATCCCTTTAATTATTCTTTTCATAATTAAATGCCAGCTCCACAGACAATAATGTCCCTGAAAAAAAAGCCATTCTAAAAATATAGCTTAGAGGGGATTTAGTGAAATGGATGAAGGTTTAATGTGTTCAAGTAGGAGGATTTTTCTTGTGATGGATTTTACTCTTCCACCTGGAAAATGTTTTCTTTAACAAATGCGTATTTTCAACAGCTGTGACCACGTTCAGGCATGCCTCCACATGTTCTTGCATTCAGACATGCACAACCTGACAATTATTTGACCTCTTTGTTGAATTTCTGTTTTCAAAGGGTCGGAAAATCTTAAATCCAACAAAGCAGGCTATCAAGCTGCTGGTGGCAGCTAAAAAGTAACTAATATTGAGTTTTTGGATCAGTGAAATCACAAGCCAACAAACATTAAGTATCATGCCACATTAAACAGACTAGCGTGGAACAAGCAACTCCTTTGTCTGTTGTTTGTTTTCACAGATTAATCATAGCCAACATAAACACAAAAAAATGACGAATGAGAAAAATGAATCAAGTCAATCCAGGTAAAACTCATAATTCTTTACTGACTTCATCAATCACTCATTGCAAACATTGATGAGTTTGTGCTCCTTGTATGAAAGTGTGGAAACAGGCTTCTACTTATTTTTTTTACTTTGGGGCCGTAACAGACAGCTGTTTTTGTTGTCTATTTCAATATGTTTATCGATTAAATGCTCATAAAATGTATGTACATTTTGAGAAATTACCATCGCAATATCTCATAATCTAACAAGGTGTCTACATATGTTTGCTTTGTTCAACCAATAGTCATAAACCCAAGCATATTACATTTAGATACATATTAAAACTGAAAATAAATTTGCTTCATAAAGGACAATTTGTTGATTATCAAAATGGTTGTAAAGTAAATCCTGGCCTTATCAGTTAGATTTTTGGCCACTTGGGTCTGCCTACATGTTAAAGTGAAAGACTTTCAGCATTTTCCTTCCTTATAATATGTAAAGAAGATGGATTTTTTTTGAATTTTTGGGGGAATCCTTTTCTGTTTACTGTGTTCGAGACAAGTCAAGACATCTCAGCTCAGCAGATCTGCCCTTTGAAGATAATACCTTCTGTCAGGAGACTTAACAAGTGCAGGACTTGACTGTGAGACACGGTAGTATGAGAGAAAGCCTGCAGCACTCCTCCCTTTAGCTGTGACTGTGTGGATTTGAATGTGCTGCCAGTTCCAATTTCCACACTTGACTTCCCTCGGATTGGCAGGTCGGAGTACATTTTAAACCTAGATGTATGCTTTAGCTTCTACATCTTCCTGTCTGACCTTTTGGATAAAGACGTGTCACTTGTATTTTGAACAACCTGCATTTATATTGAGTGGAGTGGAGCTTCAGAAAAAAGTTTGAGGAACTTGTTGTAAATAAATTACAAAACTAGAGAAACTTTTGATAAGAATGCATTCATACTGTATGAGCTCATTGCTTGCACAGCAGTCTTATGTCTCGTAAAGGTCTTAAGCAAAGACAGGAGGAAGACTCACTGAGAAGAAGCTTTAGACAAACAGTGAAATGCCAACCTAGTGAAGCGAAGAGGAGGTGTTGACACTGCTGATAATGCCAGCTTCCTGTTACCACAGTCATCACTACTTAAACCTATGTGATACTGAACAGAATCTGGTATGACAGCTTTCAGATTTGTAAAACAAATACATATAGAGAAGTTCAAAGCTGTTGGATCATTTTGTAAAGCTAGTGCAAGCAGCCGGCTAACTAAGCTATAGCACAAAAGAAGGATATCACTTTTGATGCTAAACGTACAATTTGTTCACTTGTGGAAAAGAACATTTATTCAGCTAGTTATGTACAATTTGAAAGTATTATTTACAATTCATGACACTTGAAATTGAAATGTTACTACACTACATTTTTGTAACAGCCATAGTGACATTGCAGATAAAGACATACTACGCATATTATCTTTAATTTTATAATGCAATGTTAATGATCCAAAGGTATTTCAGCTCTTCCTCGACTCGCTAAATTACATTTATTCAGTAATGATAATCCAGTAATTTGCTGAAATAAGGGCAAACCTCCATCAAAGCTGTTTTCATTACTGAAAAATAATGTGTGTATTCCCCCCCATGATTTGGATCTGCTCATTAATGTAAAGGGGGTTGCTCCTTGGCCCATACCTTCCACAAGGTTTAAAAAAGAATCACAAAATGAAAACATAACCTCCATGGTGGAGTAATGAAAGACTGAGTGCTGTATATGATTGTTATAAAAGCCTCTCTGATACGAGGCTGTTGCCCATGTCCTCCATCAGTATGCCTGGCTGCGCAGTGCACCACCAGAAACTCTTCTGAACACACTGAGGTGCCTTTACTTTCACACTAGCTGTGGTGATGTGGAGCAAAGCCAGCAGCAGCGCCTGAGCTCAGCGTCAGGTATTTATAATCAGAGGAACACTTTTCAAAACAGGCACTGGGCTATGAAGTACAAGCTTATTTTCATGATGGATCCAGGAGCGGTTTGGCAGTGTGTCAACTGGCTCCAGGCTGCAAATAGGCAACTATCTCAATAACAAAACAAAAGGCTTTAAGACATGATGTTAGTGTTTCACAGCCGGGCCTGACAAATTGGTTTGAGTCTTTTCGGTAGTATACTGTACGGACCATACCACATGTCAGATTTATCATATATAACTGTTGAAGCTTAGAGGAAAGAGCTGTATTTCTGACTAATGTAGAAAAAAAAGGGTCTCAGCAGAAGGTTTTCTGCCAGATTACAATATAAAAGATGGGTGTTTTTGTACATTCGGCCTTGAAACTATCAATCAAAGCCATATAGCAACTCAAAATGAGTCTCTCTGTCTTTCATCTGTTTACTTCACAGATGAGTTCACAGTGTCATTTACAGCTGTTCTCTGAGCCGCTGCTGCATCCC